CCTCCCCCACCTACACAAACTCCTCCTGGAGCCCACCTACCTCTTTAACACCAGAGTCCTCAGTGAGTTGGGGGCTCAGAGCCTGAGATGTTGATCCATCACCAGTTCAGAGCTGGGGTGCCTGGATAGGCCCCTCACTCTGCGAAGCCTTTCCTTTCTGCCTCAGACTTCTACTGAGAGCACTGGTGGCTGAACTTGGGGGCCCCCCATCTCCCAGCTCTGGCCTCCTGCTCCTTGCTTTCTATTTGAGAAGCGATAAGAAGGCATGAAGAAGAGGGATTGGAACCTCAGTCCCACCCTTAAGGCCCTCCCCTCCCGTGAAGCCTTGAGTTTGGTCCCCAGGGAGCACCCCAACCTCCTATCTTTGCTCCCACTGGGTTTCACATCCACATCTTTGCCCCTTTAAGATCCTCTGGGTCCTGGAATCCCCCATTACCCTTTAGTCTCTGCCTCCCACACTCCTCCATGGCTCCTTTGGATCTTTGCACCCTCCACCAGTAAAGACAAACACTCCAGCAGTTATAGCAAGAACACACCAAGTTAGACTTCCCAGCAATTCTCAGTCCGGCACCCCAGGGCCGGGGATCCTGCAGAAAACCTAATCCATGTGACCTGGAGTCCCAGGCCTCCTCACCTCCTGGGCTCAAGTAGTGGCCTCAAGAGTACTAATTCCAACAGTAGCCACCAGGTACTTCATGGCTGCAGGTGGGCTCCTGGCCCAGAGTTTTGGCTTCTCTAGCATTCCTCCTTGGCATCCTATCCAGAGTTAAGAAGTCTCACGGGGACCCAGAGACTCCAAGCCACCTGGGAACCACATCAACTTTGCTAATACACAATCAGCACCTTTGCCGCTTTTTCGGAGTGGATTTCAGCCTCCACTCCCCCTGGGTTGGGGGCCTTGTACAGTACACAACTCTGCCCCTCTACTCTTGTACAGCAAGGTGCCAATCCCAACTGATTTAGGGACAACCCGGATGGCCATAGTTGTGCAGGTGGATGGTAAACTGGGATGACAGGTGATGGGAAGGTTGGGAGAGCATTGGTTGTGGTGGAAGCTGAAGGGGGATCATGAGCTTACTGTATGCCACAAATTACTGGGGAACAAATGAATGAGAAAAGGAGAGGAGAGGGAGAGAAGAGGAGGAGGGGAGGTGGGAGTAGGAGAGACTAAACGGAAAAGAGACCCAGAAAGGGGGGAGCAACCCACCAGAAGTTGTGGGGGAGATGCCCCAGCGCAGGGAGCCCTGGAAAGACAGACGTGGAAGGAGATCCGGTCTCCAGGGAAAAGCAGAGAGGGGGGGGGAGAGGGGGTTTGGAGATAAAGGGAGTCACGGCTGCCTGGCCCCGGGAGCTCAGCGACAGGAGAGAGGGAGGGAAGCGGAAATTTAAAAGTGAAGATGCAGATAACGCAGCCTGGAGACGGGAACCCGAGTGGTGGTGGGAGTAGGAAGGGGGAGAAGAGTGGGCGGTGAGGGGGCGGAATGGTCGCGAAGCAGGCGCGGTGGCCCTGAGGGTCCGAGGTGGGGCCGGGTACTCCGCCCCGTCAATGTTTGCTGAGAGTCAGGGAGGCGGAAAGAAAGGCGCTCCCGACCCCTGTCAGAGCTCGAGGCCCAGGCCCATCCCCCGCGCGTCTCCCGGCTGCGGGGCGCGGGGGGCTGCCGGGTGAGCTTGGCTGCCGCGCGGCGTGGTGGAGACTTTATT